CCCGAATTAGCCATTTTCGCGTTAAAAATTTTCACGGGGCCGTACGCGAGAACCACGCAAGCTGGGGAGCTAAATTTGATAAGTACAAGCTGTATATTTGCTAAGAAAATTTTCTGAAAATTTGAGCGTCCCAGTATTCCTGGTACCCGATTTAGCCACTTTCCTGCCAAAAACTTTTACAGGGCCGTACGTGATTACCATTCGTACTGAGGGGCTGAATTTGATATTTATAAGTTGAACTTGTGCTAGGAACATTGCCTGGAAATTTCAGCTCCCAGCTTTCCTAGTTCCCGAGTTAGCGATTTTCACGCCAGGAACCGTCAGGAGCCATACGCGGGGACCACGAAAACCTGGAGGCTGAATTTGAAATCTTTGGGTTATATGTGGACGGGGGGACATAATCACAGAATTTCAGCTTTCTATCTTTTCTCGTTCCCGAGTTATCAATTTTCTCGCCAAAACTTCCACCCTCTCGTACGCGGAGCTCAAGCTTGTGTGAGAGTTGTTACCGCGGTCTTGGGGTGACACTTGGCCTGAGAACACAGTAGCAAAATTTCGGCGTCGGAGCTTGCTTGAATGCCGAGATGAAATATCTGGACAGACGCACATACACACATACAAACACACTCACACCGGGGTGGTCGCAACACGCGTTTTCGCATTTGCAAATATGCAAAAACGCATAAAAACTGGGAGGCTGAAATTTTAACGAAGTGTTTTCTGTCCGAGTAACACGTAGCTGCACAATTAACTTTCTGAATCTCCAGGACCAGTACGTTATAAATTCTAGCTGCTGAGTTTCGAAGCGATCTTGCTACAGCACGAAATACCGCAAGAACGCATGATTGATCGTGAAGCCCGCCTGTTGCGCGCCGCCAACAATTTTTAGTAAAACACAAGGCTGCCTAGACTTTTTGTGTGGCACCAAATGGTACTGCTGCAAATAATAGGAATGAGAGGTGGTTGAAACGTTGATATTTAGTAGATGAACGCAGATTATATATTAAG